CATGACCGCCCCGCCGGCGGTGCGCATGCGCGCGGGCAAACACCCGCCCTCCTCTGCCCCGTGTCACGGGTTCGAGTCCCATCCCAGGCGTCGCGACGGCCCGGGGTGCTGAGGGGCCGGAGTGTGCGGTGTGCGGCCTTCGGTCAGACAGCGAATGAAGCCAGAACACCCCCAGCTTTACCAGCTTTTATATGCGATAACACCAGATTTTTGCAGTCTGCCTGCCTTGCAGCTTTGCTTTTTGACTCTTACCAGGCTAAATTTGTTCTTGGTGGTAAGAGAGGAAGCGCAAGACTTAGAACGGGCACCACATGTTCTGTGGTATTAAATCAAATTGAGGAACTGAGGAGAAACACTGACTGCAGAAGCCCGTACTGCTTGTACAGTGTTTACCGTGAAGAGCTCATTTCAAAGTGTGAATTCAATCCTAGCTTAGTGGAGGAGGTTTATGGAACAGGTTTTTACATTACCAGTGACCTTACCATGTGTTGAACTGATTGGATGTGAGTGCAAAGAAGCGAAATTGCCCTGATCACTTTTACAAGAAAACCCGTAAGAATTCAAGTCACAGCAGGTCACGGAATTGCACAGAGGCTGTTACACCTGTAGGCAGACTTTATTTGGCTGAAATCACAAGGCTAATTTACAGACAAACAGTTCTACGTATGTCGGTATAACACTGGGCTGGAAGAATAGCAAAGCAGCTACAAGTCTGAACTGGTGGATAGAAGGAAGGTCTTTGTAAAAAACCCAGGTCAATTCAGTCTTCAGCACAACTTCTTCACATTCATGTGGCCTTGCAGGAATGGGAGTTTTGGAGAAAGAAACACACAGAGAACAGACTTCAGGTTTTGCTGACTGAAAACTTTCAAATTCCCCCCATTTTCCTCGGGGTTTGCTACGCTAGTAGATTGGACATTCAAGAAAGGTTTCTAGAAAATTTAGTCCATTTTATTATGCAGAAATTATTCAAAGCTGCTTTTTAAATGAGCAGTAGATGAAATTTCAAATTAAAAAACATTTTCAATAATAATTTCCTTTATTCCCCTAGAGTTTTCTTTGTTAGATAACTGGAAACTCACCCACTTTGACTATACTGTGTTGTGCTCTATAAAACAGAGCACCAGGGGGAGCGTCTGCTCCGAACAATTTAAGCCCAGCGACAGCAGGAGAAATACGAAGGTGATCCAGACTTGCAATGAAATAATTTACGAAACAAAGAGAGAGGAAGTGAGTGTCCCACTCAGTTGAAAGGGATCAAACAAGTGAAAAATGGAAGAGAGCAAAGATGTAACGCATGAAGACAGGAACAGACAGAAGAGGATAGGAAACTGCTGTCCCATGTGATACTATCTCAGTGAACGTTTTCAAAGCAGCTACTTTCTTGCTTGTCTGAAGAATAAAGTATTTCACTTTTCATTTTTCACATATATGTAGTTTAAAAGTGATATTTTTGGTTCAGCCTATTGGCCCATGAGGAGCAAAGTCAGACAGCTCAAGGAAACCACAGCTGGGTTAACTAAATCCACATTTTGGAGCTCATGTTCAAGTGCAGCGAAGAAGGGGATATTAAACTGGCCTTTGGCAATCTGGACTTTGTTTGGAACTGCATTATTTGGATATGCCGTTGTTATAAATGAAACTAGAATTTTGACAACTAGGTCCCTTGAGGTAATAACAACTTAATTAAAAATGAATACAATTTAGTAAATTGAACAGTAATTTGGTATAAAAGAATACAGCATAGTAAAAGAATACAATTTAGTAAAAAATTACAATTGATAGATACAAATTTAGTGATTAAGTATGATTAAAGCATAACCAAAACCGACTGGGGTACAAAGAGGGCTTGTTACCCCACCTGACGTACAAAACCGACTGGGGTATGGAGGGGGCTTCCCACCCTGGCTCACGTACAAAACAAAGCACTTCAAGCTAAACTTACATACTGTATGCTTATACATATTCATTAATGTTTCCCATAAGTTTCCTCCTCTTTCTGATTTTAATGATTTTAAGTCACTATTCTTCACGGCGCATGCCTCACTTGTTGTTAGGGGGTCTTCAGCCTTCCTTTGGTGGTCTTTTGGCAAAGGCTTCTCCTCTTCCTCGTTGTCCTTTGGATAACCTTGCAGCTTTGCGCTTGCCTACTAAGCACTGTGTTATGTTAGTCTACTAATTAGTCTTATATTAGTCTTATTCTGATCTTTAGGCCCAGTGCCTAAAGTTGTTCTAATTTTGTCCATCTCAAGGCCATTTTCGTCTTGGGACATCACTTATCTTCCAAACTACATCCCATACCTCAATTTTAACATGCAACATCTGTAAAGGGGGGCATCTGCCTTGTAACACTGATTCTTTTGATTGCTTCTAATAATAACTTCAATAACAGTTACAATTTAGTTAGCACAAATAAATTCCATTTATTACACCATCAAGTCTTAACCTTTAAAATTACCTGGTTTTCTTGCTTCTGTACCACAGCAGTAACAAACCACCCCACCCTTTGAAGTTAAACTCTAAAATAACAACAACATCAGGGAGAGAAACTTGCAGAACAGTAAGTATATATATATATATATATATATATATATATATATACTATAAGTAATATAGTATAAGGATTAGTAGGCAAGGATTTCAGAGCAGCAAGGAAAGAAGCAATTTTATGAGAGAAAAGTGTAGACCTCACACTTATTTTATCCACATTGCTGATGACTTGTAGAGGGTTTTATTTGCCTATAAAGACAACACATAAGCTAAACTACAGTAATTAAATCCATTTTAAGATCAATCTATTTGTTGCCCTTGGTTTTGGAAGAATGGCAATAATTAAAACATTGGGAAATAACTTAATAAGCAGAGGTTATTAATGTAGTAATACATTAATAAAATACATTTTATTGTAACAGTGTAGCAATAATTATATATTAGTATATATAATATATAATAATTGTAATATGTAATGTGTATATAATATAGTAGCATAGTGTTTTACGTTACTCTAAGTATATCCACTTGGGGAGAATATCCAAGCACCAGTGTAAGTGTCCCACAAGGAACTATTAAACATGTATGTCAATAGAAATAAATAGGTAACCATGTATTTTACCAACACAAAGGGGACAGTAGATGCATTTTTTAAATGCAATGGAAACACTGAGACTGCAGTTGAGATTATGTTGAGCTAAGCGTGGGTTGCTGTGGAGAAGGGAGGTCCCACTGGTCCCTTAGTCTCTGTGGCCACCTCTGCTTCCTCTCCCGAACCCTTACACCTATAGCACTAGGGCACCTGGGGCTGCAGGATGAAACTGCAGCTGATGTAGATGAAAAGTAAATTTATTTTAGCATTAGTTTTTTTTTTTCATGGGTTAGATTTTCACCATGAACAGAGCACCACTTCTGACAGAAGTGACTTTTGTGGTTGGGACTGAGGGATAAGACAAAACTACCTCTTCTGGTAGCCCATACTTAGATGAAATTGGTTGACACATGAATATCAATCAGTGAACCACTTTAATTATTAAACCAGGAATCTTGAAAGTTTTTGTAGAAGCTTACATATAATCATGGTCATAGTGATACGCTGCAGCTGAAGGAGATTGAAAATAACATATCTCTGTTTAATTTTTACACTCTGACGAGCCAATGAAGTTCATAGTGAGGCTGAATGAACATGACAATGATGTGCCTAACTTACTTTATCACTATTTGCTCTTCATAATCTATAATCATAATTCCTTCCGAATGACAAATCTGTTTCTCAAATTATTTTACTTGTAAATTTTGAACATGCAAAACTATGAGAAGTTTTGGTTCTTTCCCTCTGTTCCTATTCAGTAAATATAATGTATTCAGTAAATATTCATGTATCCACTCTCTGAGACATGAGGAGTACTGTGTCATGCATACTGTGGATAGAGTCTGTCTCTACACCTTTACACTTGTCTCTATCATGTCTCCTTCTTCCAAGATGATGTAGAAGAGGAACTTTCTTAAATGTTCTTGAATTCTCACTGATACGTCAAAATCATCTTGTTGGTTTCTGTAGCAATTCTGTCCTTCCCACAGACAGCACTGAGGAACTAGCAATAGCTCTGAGGGATATTCCCGTGGTTCAACACCACCTTAGAGTCACACATTATATACAGTGAAATCTGTACTGCCTTTCATGGACAAAAGCATAGTGAAGAGAGATCAAAAGAGATCTGCTACACTGTAAGATCTTCAGGGAGGAAGTGCTATTGTTGGAAACTCTCCAAGCATACTTGAAAGCACCAGCTAGAAAAAAATACTGTACACATTACTTGAATCAATAATATCATAGGTTTGTAAAATATGTACATCTCAACACCTGCCTGGCTGAGGTAACAGGCAAGCCATGAGCTGGTATCACACCCACTATTGTGCAGGATAGAGGCAGAGGAATAACTTAGACCAGAAAAGTGACATTCTATGTACTCCAAGGAGCTGGTAGTTGGCTTGAGCCATATACGCATTAAAATAACAGCTCAGATGACAAAGTGGAGTCAGTAGCTGGGATTCTACTCATGAGTACCACTGGTCACCATCTTTTATAAGCAGCTGGGCACTCACAGACCTACCCTGCCTCTGCTCTCCTGTCTCCAAGACACACTTCTTTACATAAGCTTCTTTGATTGGAGAGGGAGGAGTCTTCATCTTCCATCCTACAAGAACATTATGAATATTCTCCTAACTCTCCTTTTTACAGTTCAGACCTTTTATTTCTTATCCCATGCTCATGGAACATGCAGAAAGTATATTTTTATCTTCTCTATTGATACCATCTTATAAGGAAAAATCTCTTGTCACTATTTCTATCCTTCTATGTCCCTTTCTTTATGCTTAAAAATTCTATATGAAATGAACACCAGGTACACATCAGGACTGGAATTTTAATCACAATGTTCAGGTCTAATGATTGCAATGTCTGGAATTCAAAATGACAACAACAGAAAATTAGCAATGCCTCTTAGGGCAGATGTAGTAAAACTAAGCCAAAATATTCCCTTCTCCAAGCCTAACCTTAATATTTCAGTATTAACAATGAATGGTAAGAACATGTTGGTGCTTTTCAAAAATCTACGGACATTATAAAACAGAAAATAAAATACCCAGAAGGTAAATTATGGTGACTCTTAACACTAATAGTAAACAACAATTAGTAGATGCTGGAATATGCTGCATAGCAAGTTGTACCAACACGTCATAATAGCAGTGGGGAGAAAGTATTCCTAAAATAATAAACACCCCACTACAAATATCTCACCTACACAAGGACTTCATGGTCTGTATTTATTATATAACTCTTAGTTGAGAGCTACTATTACAGCTACTATGCATTTTATTCTTATCACATCATATTTTGTAGTGAAATGAAAACAGCAGTTGGTGAAAGTTATGCCAGCAATACTATTTCTGCTGACAGAGGTTGTTTCAACCAGGGACATACAAAGAGAAGGTAATTATGACAGACTAAGAAAAATCAGTTTGTTTATAAAGATACATCCATAGTAAGGCACAGCAGTGCTTTTTGACTAAATCTCTTCCAGGGTATGTGCAGCTAACTTCCTCCCAGGAATTCCTCACAAAATGGCCCTGTGATTTATAAGTCTTTTATCAGTCTTGTCAGTCTGTGTCCAGCATGGCAGCACATTGTATTAGCCAGATTTTCTGGACTTCTTTGTGGTCTCTAAATAATACACTATGGAGCAGCTCTTCACATCTCTGCTTCCTACTGCTCTTATCTTTTCTACAGGAAATAACAATTTAATAGGCTGCTCCCAAAGAAATTAAAACAAATACTGTGAATGTGACAACTATTCTCAAAGCTAACTGTTCAAGTATTAATTTGAAAACTAGATTTTTAGAAGCAGTTGTCAGTGTCCTGGACAGCTTCTGCATATTTACCAGCTTTTCAAACTCTCGCTGCAGTTGTATGACCATATGACTCATGACCTCCATGACTCCTGGGACAAATTGTGGTTTGAATCATATTACTGTAACTCCCCTTTTTTCTTTTTCTTTTTTCCTCTTGAGAGTGTCTCAAATTAGCAAAAACACAAAAAGAAGAGAGGCGCTTTCTTGCATTGGGAATTTCCTCATGGCTAAGTTGCTGATGAATAAGACACTGTACCAATACAAACATCTCAGCTTGCCTATGTGTAATTTCTCTCAGTACAAAAACAAATATGTTCTAATTTTCAAAAAAAACACTACCAGCCATCTGAAAAAGTCTAGAAGCCCTCTAGTTCATACACAAGTGCAAGAGTTTTGTACATAGGAAAATGCTACATACAAATAGGGTTTGCTATTGTAATAGCGAATGGTAAAATTTTCTACAGAAATAATGAATAAAATAATGAATCTTATTATGTGGGTGGACATTGGTAGTTTGCTCACACCAAGTTTTCAATGCATTGATGTTATTACATCAGGAGAGGTATTTTTAATTTTCAATAAAGTAGCTGAAATCTGCTTTTATTTAATCTGGAGCAAATTCTAGAGAAGAGCTCTCTAGAAAATTTGTTTGCATTGTGAGGATGTGACCTACTTGTTCTTGCAGGTGACACAATAAAGAATGAAGTAAGAATTTTTTTCATTTCACAATTTGGAGAATATTTCTAGAGAAATACTGAGCAACTTAAAACAAATAATTTACAATTATGTTAATTTTCCTAGTTTTCCTTAAATAGTTCATCTACTTACAGGGACAAAATATAAGTTGTTCACTTGAAAATGGGACATGTTTTTTCCTTATGTTATTTACAATGTAATAAATGACATAAAGTTCTAGCAAGGAGCAGTCGGTTTAATAGTGTCACAGAGTGCAGGGTACAAGTAAACCCTAAACTTTCTTCTAAATTTGCACTTTACCTACAATACCTGTGAAAGTATAAATCTCTCTTGTCTTTACTTTGGTATGGCTTTTCATTAGTTCATCTTGGATCTGTGATGCACTGGGCTCACCAAGTGAATCAGAAACAAACACATGGTAACATTTTCTCCCAGTTAGCTAAAGCTGTACTTGTGCTTTGTCTCAGTCTTGGTCTATCTTTGTTTATACTTTATCTTGGTTTACACTGGCTCTAGAAGGTGAAATGATCAGATATTATGTCTGCTGGGGCAAAGTTTCACCTTCAGAAATGTTTAAATATACACGAACCATAAAAACTAATTTTTTTCCAGTGAGGTGTCTTGTGGATACTTTTAATCTGATACTAGGTTTCCTAAACTTAAATTAATCATTTTATAGGAAACCAGCCTTGGATTTTTCCTTGTGAAAAATACCTGAGAGAATCAAAAAGTCTAAGTGGTATTTTCATATTCATCTGCTGGATTATTTTTATTTATTCAAGAAATGGATATAGTAATTGTGACATAATTAGCTAAATTAGAATATTAAAAAAATTTGCTTGGCATGCTGGAGTCACTGTCTAGCAGAAATTGTTAGAAAAACTGTAGAAAAATTTAACAGGAAAAAAAACACTTGAAAAATATTACAACCCAGACAATAACTTTATACAAGCAAAGATAAAGAAAAAGCAGCAGTTACTAAATATTTCATTTGGTATCACTGACTCATGTCCTTTTAGCTGATAAAGCAGTTTGATAAAAAGAAAGTGTAGAATTAAGGTTATTTGTGGATCAGATAAATTCACAAGTCAACCTGTTTTTATATACAATGAAAAGGAAGGTACATAAGTACATAAGTGCATATCAAAAATGTTTTGACACACAATGAAACTGTAACAGTTTAAACCAGCTAATGACAAGTTGACAGCTGTAGATAAGGTTGAAGATTAGCCATGGGAAATTGCCACATCAGAGTAAACAGAAGAAGAAGGAATGAAGCAATTTTCAAAGTGTATCAATCTGCCTATGTGCAATTCCACTTTACTTTCCAAATACACACTTTTCCATCAGTCCACAAGTATCAGTATTAGATGGTGTTGCCTTTTTTTAGGGTTTGTTTCATGTCTTCTTATTCAATGTTAGTTCATGGGGAGTGAATACAGATTGTTAGAAGCTGGAGTCTCTACATAGATTACCCACTCAGCTTCCTCTATTGGATAAAGTAAAAATGTCAGGATAAGAGGTAAATTCCTGATGCAGTATCTCATTTAAAATTATTTTCTGCTTTTAAGAAATAAGCCTTTTAAAAGTGAAAGACTTTGCAATTCCTTGTTAAATTCCAGCTGATAATTACTTTATATGGAATGGATAACAGAATGAAAATCTCTTGAACAAAAAGTCTCATCATCTTTCTGGCTTTCAGTATGGAAGTTTCTGTCATTCCGATTGGGAACGGCTAGAAAGAACGACACGGGACTCTCAAAGGAGTCACAACACGAGAATTCCTTAGTTTATGGCTTCAGCCCTGTCTTATAGACAGATACGTGGAAAAGTACAGAAAGGAAACTCTTATTGGTTAACAAAGTGCTACATTACCATCATTGGTCAGGGGCACTTTGGCCCCCTGACTCTCTCCTGCAAGGAGAAACAAGAGGCTGCAAAACAACACCTGTTTAGTGTCCCTGAGAATTGTTTTAATTCCTTCTCATATTTTTCCCAGGATACTTTCTCAGGCAGCCTGAGGAGCCATGCGGCCTGCAATTTGTACAGGCACTGTGGTTCAGATTTAGCATAATAACTGCTATTAGCTTCTAATAACTGCCCTCCAGAACTGGCATCTAATGCCAGCTTCCTGGTTCCTTCCATTCCGCAGTTGCCTAAACTTGATGGTATAAATCACAGGCAAAGCATGAGGATTACTTGAGTAAATATTAGTCAGTTATTCCCCTAAAACTTGTTTTGTCTACACAAGCTATGTCACAGCAATTTATCCAACATTAACATTAAGGTCTGAATGGATTGTTAAACTATATTACACCTTTGGGTTTACTGCAGAGCTAATGAAGTAAAACATCATGAAATTACTGGGTAATAATCAATTGCCTTTCTGGCTATAAGTTATTAATATGCCCCCACATCTTCAAAGATATTTGAACTAGAGTGGATATCATAATAGGTCACTACCTACCTGTAAATACACACTGGATCTCTCAAGTACATCCACTGACCTCATCTGGATGACCACTAAGCTGATGTGGGAGCATCCACACTGCTGTAATGATAACCATCTATGTCTACAACCCCAAATTCCCACTGGCACTGCTATTTATATGTGTTTGGCACTGGAACCATCACCAGGTATAATTCTCCTCTGGGGAAGTGATTCTCCCATAGCATAATCATACCCAGGTTTTCACATTCCATTAACTTGAGGTGCTCTGGGAAATGTTTGATAGCATGCTATAACAAATTTATCTCTTCCTTTCAGGCCTTCATTGGAAAGTTTTCAGTCTGCCAACATGTTTAGTTGGCAGCTCACAAGTTCCTCTCTTTCATGCGTCCCAAACAGTGCTAGTATGAGCACAGCAGACTGAGTTGTTCATGCTTGCACTTGCATGAACAGATAGAGGATTTGAAATACACAAAGAGCTCTGTGACTGTTTTGGAGTCATCAACAGCTCTTGTGTCATTGGACTTAAGTTCACATAAGTCAGGGAGTCAGGGAAGCTCCTGAAACTTCAGGAAACTGTGGAGGAGTGCAGAGCATACATGGTAACTTAGAAGATTGGACCACAGAACCAGGTGGACTGGATTTACTTATGAAAAGTATTCACAAAGATAGGAAAGAATAATCCAAGTTCTTGTCAGAAATACAGCTACTGAAGAAAAATGTACTTCTAATACCAAAATTATTTTTGTACTTAAAAAGCAATACTTACAGGGCATTCACATCTCATCAGTTACCAAAGTGTTGAGAAAACTATTATTTAAAAACATACTTGTCTTCATATCATCACCAAAAGATAACAGAATTGTCATTATTCCTGTTTTCATTATTGGTGGTTTCCAGCAGCGAGGGCACTAAATGGTTTAGGGCACTCAGTGGCCCTAAGATCAGAGTGGAATTGAATTCACTTAGCTCTTCTGTGTGACTCCAAAGCTGGTCCAAAGCCATTGTTTTAGACTGAAATTTTACACTTAGAGTGTGGGTACTTACTGTTTACAGGAGCAAAAGGTAGGACTGACAGGTGAGGATCACATTCTTTATTTAATTCCCACTGCCCTGGATGACCCGAATTTTGAAGTTTTTCTTTTTCATGTGGCAGTTCAAGAGATGATATAAAAGACATCTGCAGATCTCTCTGGGGAAACAAAAAAAGGATGTATCTTTGTAGAGGATGTTTAGTGTTATTATCTCCACACAATAAAGCTATCATTGAGATTTCTCAATCAAGCACTATCTCTGGTGACTATGATCTTTGTAGTTACTCTTCCATAGGCTACCTGGGAGAAGGCAGTTTAATTACACTTCAGACATACTGGTGGTTACTTTACATGTTTGGGATCAAGACTATTCATACTACTGGACAATTATACAGAAGGATAAAAGTGAAAACGTGTATGTAATGGCCAAGTCAGGAGTCAGCAATGCCTCCCACTCACCTGATCAGCGTTACCTCTCCAAACAGCTCACATGCTCTGCTTCAACACATCTAATTAAAGTGCACAGAATGCTGCACTAAGGCAGCTGTGATCCTTCTGGCAGCCAGGGTAGCTCATTTACAGTTTGGTCAGGTGTTTTTGGGTGCACTGATGTAGAGGCCTAATTGAGGGAATTGTTATTACTGTGCAAGCAAGGGAAATAAAGTAATGCCTTTCATAGTTGTAGGCTTTCAGAATGGACTGTCATGCATGAAAAAACATGACTGGGAAATGTAAGACTCTGGATATGAATTATTTACAGCTGCAATGGGATTACAGTAGCTGTGGTTGGTGATAAACTGTGTGATAGTCTCTTCTTTGTCAAATATCTCTGCCAACTTGAATGTTCAAATAAATCAATGTTAACCAATTAAATTGTTTTAAACTGACTGGGTTTTGGCAAAGCTTGCAGCAGCTTGCTCTGCCCTCCCCAGAGCTGATTCCTCTTTCCTACAGCACCTGAGCCAGCAAAGGTGGTAGAGCCTGCCTGCAAAGAAACAGAACTCCACATCTTTTTCTGCCAAGAACATACGTAATTTCAAGGCAGTAGTTACAGTCTTCCTTCATGTAGAACTTTTATTCCATCTGACATGCCAATATGTTTTGAAATTTCTACTAGCCACATGGGCACTCCAAGGAACAGACCATCAGCAGCTGTTCACTGAACATAACCTAAAAAAGGTTTTCAGTGTGGTCAGGGTGCAGAACATTGGTGCAGGAACAGGGTGCAGGAGAGCACAACCAAGTACCACTGCTCAGCAGAGCTCTCCCAGCACTCTGTTAGGAACTCTTTGGTGACACTGGACAAGTACTGGTAACTGCACTATATTTCAATAGGGACCAAGAGATCTGCAAATAACATTTCCTGGTGGATTTTTTTTTTCTTCTTTCTTTTTTCAGCGGAAGATGATCTTGAATCAGGAATTCTCTCACTTCCGTGTAAAAGGCCATGTGATCTCATTGTAAGAGGCAGCCTTCAAGAGTGCTCTGGAAGGCAGTAAAATCGGAAAGGACAATGTGGGACTTCACAAGGGTTATTGATGAAAAAAACTCACTGAAGTTCCTGATGGCAGTGATTTGTTTAAGGCAATTTGGGAAGTTTCTCAATAGCCAGAGGCTTACTTCCTAGAAAACAAGAGGAAGTGTTTGCTAACTTTGATTAGCCCAGTGGCTAGAAAACTGGATGTTTAGACAGGACAGTGCCATGGGTGTTGTAAATGACTGTAAACGATTAAGAACATCAGTTACCCTTAAGAGTTGTCAAGGGTGTCAGGGTCTGTGACAGTCATACTTCTACTCCAAACTCCACCTGCCTTAAGACGAGGCCTTGAGGCAAAGAAAAAACAAACCTTTAAACAATAACTAAGCGTTATGGACTCTACGGCAGCGAACAAAGCTCCCTCACCCAGAGCCGTGGGGCGTGCGGACGGAGCGCTTTATGGAAGGGTCCCCGACCGCAGCTCGGACCGGCGGGTCCGCCTCAGTCGCTCCTCGAGAGAGAGGGATGAGAGCGGAAAAGGGGCGAGGGGAAGGAGCGGCCAAAGGCCGGTGTGCGCAGGTGAGGG